CATGATCAAACCCTGCTCTGTCCGTCCAAGGCCTTGAACGGCCAGAAAGTTGAGACAAAGGTTATGGCAGGCTGGGGGTTGTGGGTTTAGGCAACTTTTCTCATGAACTATTGAAGCATCGCATGTTTCAGCCTAGGGCTGTTCAACCAGCAGAGTGGTTTCTGTATTTCTAGCCACCCCTCACTTCTTGAGTGGATGAGCCAAACAAGTCCGCATTTGCGTCTACCACCAAAATGGTCTTGCCAAAAGCGACAAAAGTCCATGAACTCAGGGAATGCGTTAGCCAGTCGACCTTTTGCCTCCAAAACAAATCACGAATGCCAGGCCCGTGCACCCCATGCCCCCCAAATAGATGTCAACAAAAAGAAACTCAGTTTCTTGTTTACCCCGGTAAGTAAGTTGCTAGCATTCTAGGTTAAGTTATATCACCTATTTACAAACGGGCAAGCTGCACTTGGAGGACTTATAAGTACCCAGAGGGTATGGGCATGTGGGTTCGGAAACGGGCACCTGGGCGCTTCGACGCCTCGACGCCTCGACGCCTCGATGCCTCGGCGCCTCGACGCCTCGACGCCTCGACGCCTCGACGCTTCGGCGCCTCGACGCCTCGACGTCTCGACGCCTCGACGCTTCGACGCTTCGGCGCTTCGGTGCTTGGACGCTTCGATGCTTCGACGCTTCGGCGCCTCGGCGTTCCGACGCTTCGACGTTTCGGCCCCTCGACGTCTCGACGCCTTGATGCTTCGACTCTGCGGCGGTTGGACGCTTCGATGCTTCGACGCTTCTAAGCCTTGACGCCTCGATGCCTCGATGCCTCGACACTTTGCCGCTTAGACGCTTCGACGCTTCCACGCCTGGACGCTGCGTCGCTTCGACGCTTCCACGCTTTGACGCTGCTAGCTACTCTTCTCTCTAGCTACTTCTCTCTAGCTACTCTCTTCTCTCTAGCTACTCTTCTCTCTAGCTACTCTTCACTCTTCTCTTCAGCTACTCTTATCTCTAGCTATTCTTCCCTCTAGGTACTCTTCTTTCTGGCTATCTCTTCGCGCTAGCTACTCTTCGCGCTAGCTACTCTTCTCTCTAGCTACTCTTGTCTCTAGCTACTCTTCTCTCTAGTTACTCTTCGCGCTATCTACTCTTCTCTCTAGCTACTCTCTTCTCTCTAGCTACTCTTCTCTCTAGCTACTCTTCTCTCTAGCAACTTTTGTCTCTAGCTACTCTTCTCTCTAGCTACTCTTCGCGCTAGCTACTCTTCTCTCTAGCTACTCTCTTCTCTCTAGCTATTTTTCTCTCTCTAGCTACTCTTCTCTCTAGCTACACTTCTCGAGCTACTCTTCACTTAACTTTCGTACTACGGAAGTCCCCTCAAAACTTCCTTTGATAATAACACTGCCTTACATCGCCTTCTCGGGGCTGGGAAGATTTGCGAAGAAGACGTGAGAAGTCACGACAGAGGGCCACTCATCTGCTGTCTTCGACGTGCCTCGCCTGAAAGCTCCAAGCTGCAGACAGCAGCTGCGTGCGCGACCTCCCTGCTTCGCACGAGCACATGGAAGTGGAAGCGGCCACGTGGGCCAAACTCTAAATTGCCTGTCTGGGCTGTCAGGGCCGTGGTCAGTCAGTCGTTACTGTGTGCCATGCTACGTAGTATGTCCAGGCAATGGTGTTTTGCGAGTAATTGTTATTGGATGTTTGTTTGTCTGTTCGTTTGTTTGTTTGTTTGTTTGTTTGTTTGTTTGTGTCTTTGTGTTTGTGTTTGTGTTTGTTTGCTTGCTTGCTTGCTTTCTTGTTTGCTTGTTTGCTTGTTTGCTTGCTTGCTTGCTCGCTAGTTTGTTTGTTTTTGTTTGCTTGCTTGCTTGTTCGTTGTTCTCAAGAGCCTGAGCACGGGCTGGCAAAATCAAAGCCATAAAACACCTGTCCGGCATTGAAGCCTTTGTATTTGGCAACTACTTGGCTGTGCTGCCTCTGGCCTTTTGGTGTTTCTGTCTTGATTAGTCTGAGCCGGGGCTGCGCAGGTTCTGTTGCGCGGCTCTCTGGGTCTGCAAGCTTTCCTGTTGCCAAGCTTGCGCAACTGCAAATAAAGAGCACTTTTTAACTCAGTGGCCCCCAAATGCAGAAAGTGTGTTACAACTCACGACACCACTTCTTGGGCATCACGATGGCACGAAGATGACGCTAGAGTGGCATATTGAAAGGAAACGGTGCAACCCCTCCCCTACGCACTGGTCCTGTCAGAAGGATTATTGGCCGCACAGCGAGCCCAGTGTAAAAGACTTGGTCAGGGAAAAGCTTGTGACCGAACACAGAGCCTGGCCTGCTCTTTGGCTGCGCGCTCAGACAAACTGTGAAGGGCTGGCTTTTCATAAAAGGAGACCAAATTGTCTTTGTTCCACTTTCGACGCTTGGCAGGCTGGGGCTCATCGCCAGGCTCCCTTTCCTCCTTTGCTGCCTTGCGCAGCAAACCCTGGTCCTCCAACTCCTCGCACACCTCTTTGATCGTCTCCGTTTTGGCAAGATCCTGTCATGAGCCAGGCGCAAGTTACCGGAAACAGTGGCCTTCTTAGCTAAGCAACAATCGTGCGTCCTTGGTCTTCTTGCTGTTCCGGTACTTCAGCCTGATGGCTTGCGTGCTAAAGGTGCCAGACATGTCCGTAAGGACCCTGTACTTCAGGTAGTCGCGGCCTTGCAAGCCTAAGCCCCGGCAAACCCGTGACCTGCACAAACAAAACTAAGGTTTGGTGTTTGATTGCAGGAGAGGCGCCTTCGCCAGCAACGTAGAGGTTGCCTTGGGGCTCAGCTGCCTTGGAACCAGTTGCAGCGTCGGCTAGGACCTTGGCGCCGCTACGCTGCATCCATTGCAGGTAGCAAAAGTGGAGGCGGATTTGCCTTCTCCAGTTGTGGAGGGCAAAGCAGAACTCATAGATGGAGGGGCTGGTTCTGGTCGGCCTGGGCTGGCCCCCAAGAACGTAGCTATGAAGAAACTGCACTTTCCTCATTGCGATGTGGCTGGCCCGCAAAAGGTCTGAGTGTCGAAAGTCCAGCTTGGCCTCCGTGTATTGGTCAAGTTCGTTGTGGTCTGCTTTGAACTCGTCACATGCTTTCTTGGAGCATTCGTACAGGTGAAGAGCAAAGCCGTCGAGGACGTGCTTGCGATTCTCCCCTTCTTCCTCCTGGTAGAAGAAGTGGTCGAACATCCATGCATGAAGCTGTTCAACTAACGCAAGGGCGCTCTTGACAGGAGCAGAGTCGTCGTGCTGTAAGCCCTTGGGAGCAACTGAGAACCAAAATCGCTTTTGGAAGCCGTGGGCCGCAGGCTTGAGGATGGCGTCAATGACTTCCTGCAAGCAAAACAGCGGGTTATTACGTGTGTCTTGAGGGCTGGGGGTTTGGCTATGATTACATTCTGTCCTGTTGGCCTGATATCTTGTGCAGCACGACATAGGGATGGTCTGCGTCTCCTAGGTGCGTGTCGGTACCAGCTGTGATCGCATCGTCCATTTCACTCTGGGTGAGCTTGTTCATGACGTGCTCGGGGAGGTAATGCACACCAGGCCGCTTTGAAGAGAAAGGGGTGTCATAGACAGTGGACGCCTCGCCGCTGGTGACAATGGCCCTGCTGTATACCTTCAAGGCTTTGCGGATGCCAGCCAATGTAGCATCCGAAATGACGATTTTCCTTTGGGCAATGTAGCCAGGCTTTCCCGCTGCATCCTGCGGCTCCGCCTTCTCGAGGAAGTGGTCCGTCATTTCAATGATGTGAGACTTGCGGGCAGACACCGCTGCGCCCAACATCACAGAGGGGTTGGGAGACACACCTCGGTGGGTGCTGTCGGGCGCGTGCAGCAGCCTTGTGGCATGGTGCTCACAGAAGCCGATGTTGGCGTCGCAAGCCAGGTTCAATGACTCGGGGCACAGGCCGTCATGGAGAGCGATGGCCTGCATTGCTCGCACCCAAGGAAGTGGGCCGCACATCCTGAGATCGAAGTCTTGCGTGGCAAGCTCTCTGTGGGAGAGTGTCTGGGCATCAGACCATGCTTCTTGAAGCCACCCATGGATAGTCGCAACAGTTTCCTGACTGGTGCTCATGCCATCGAAAAGGTTTGGCGGAAACACTCGATGGTTGATTTCTTCCTCCGTTGTCAAGCCAGACAAGGAGCGAAGAGCTTCTGCCACGAAGTCAGGCTTTTCCGCCCTCTGCTGCTCTTTGCTGGAAACAGCATCGGAGAACTCAAAACGGAAAAAAGGATCCACCAGCTTTGGCCCTGGTGACTCGCTTGGCCCGCTGTTCTGTGTTGGGGCTGTAGCATTTGGACTCTCAGATGTCTTCTCCTGCCACGGGAGCTGTATTGAGGGACTTGTGGCACAAAATCCACAAATACAAACAACAGACATGGGTGGGGAAACAACATGCATGGGCAACGGCGACAAGGTCCTAGCCTTAGTTCTTGAGAAATGGTTACGTGAGCAACCGCAAACGCGTATGCGACAGCAAACGGCCGAGAAACCTCTGCACGTTGCGTTGGCCGCGGTGGGGAAGACTCTGCGTGCATAGCTTTTGCTAAGGCAGCCGCATAGTCTTGCGCTTCGTCGGCTGCTTGCTCGGGCACCAAGTAAGGGTCATCAGCTGTCACCAGGTCGTCCTGGACACGTGCGCGCGCTCACATGCGCACGCGCTACTTGACAGGGCAGCCCAGGCATGCAACGTTCTTTGAAAGATTTTTTGGCATGGTCCTGAAAAGCTGCTGGGGCATCCATCTTGGGCTGTGCACCGAGACACTGAGTCCGTCGGGGGGCCGTGCGACGCACTGTCACTCCGCGTTCACTCCAGACAAACATTGCTCCAAAAGAAATTTGAGCATAAATGCAATGCAACGGACAACATGGTTCTGCTGACATGGCTTGCGTTTATTGGGCACCAAGCGATCTTGCCAGCATTTTTTCACCAGTGTCTTGTCACGGCTTCTTGCCATGTCCCAGCCAACAGCGGCAGCTAGCAGAAATCAAGGAACGTCGCCATACGGATCGATCCATTTGGCGCCTAACTTTTTGGCCCAGAAAAAAAGTGTCGGAGCCAATTCCGGCCCTCCAACCCGAGGGAAACCTTGCTTGTTCTTGGGGTTCTTGGCCCCTTCAAGCGCCCAGAAAGTCTTCCATGGGATGGGGTTTACCCTTTTCAGGCTGCACACGCTGGAGAAGGCTATGTAGTCAAAGCTTTGGCCCGTGCTAAGGTAGCTCTCAAGGTCCGGTCGCAATGACTCGTCAACGCGGTCCAGGACGCCACTACTGACAATGTCGGTGCACCCTCGCACAGCACTCCCGGCACACACCGCTATAGCTGTGACATGCTGCGAGTCCCCCATCACGACCCACTCGCCAGGCGCTGCAAATTTCATTGCATTGAGGCTTCTTTCTCGGTACCTTTGGGTCTCCACCCACTTTTTGCCATCAGCCACAGCCCGAGCCCACTTGCTTTGCAAGACTCTCATGTGGATCTTACCTTGGTGGGTGCAAGCAGCGTGCGCTGTCAAAAAAAAAACGGGACACGCTAAACTCTGAAACTGAGTGTCAGAAGCCAAGACACTTGGGAACTCCATGCCAAAGGCTTCTTCTGACAACCCTTGCTCCCAGAAACGTAAGCTTTCGGGCTGCGCAAGAATGACATCACCTGCTTCGTCCTCAGGCTCGAGTGGAGTCGAGCAGACCAAACTGGAAGGAATTTCATCCAAAACGCCGTCCATGTTTGCCATGCATCTGGCCAGGGCAATCATGCCATCCAGCTTTTGTGAGAGCAGAGAGTCATTGTCCGTCCAAGAGGGCATACTTCCATGGTGATAATGAGTGTACATCAGTCGGAGAAAACATAAATTGGAAATCATGTCAAACCAGGGCAGGGAGATGCGCCTGGATTCTTGCGGAAGCATGGAGTTGATGTGGCTCCACTTCTGTTCCACAGAAATGGTGCCGCTTACCACTGGCACTCCGGCTTTATGCAAACCGCGGGCTACCGTGGCCCACTTCCAAAGGCCTTCTATCTTCAAGGCAGTGGACAGTTTTGCATAGTGTTCACGGACTTTGGTGGTGAAGACCGTTGTCGCTCCAGGAACCATCTTGACCGGCTCATCTTCGCGCAGGTTTCTTGCCCGGCGCAGCTTCTTGCGCCCGGGCTCGTACCACGATATCATCCTGGCTATCTCATCGCGGAAGTCTTGCTTGTCTGGATACTGCCAAGGCCCGTTGACAGGGCTCAGCGCAACATCCAAACGCCGCGCAATGCGGCTGAGGACGCCCCGAGGAGGCTCAGACTGGAACAGCTTCAGCCACTCGTCAGATTTGTGCACATAGGGCTGCTGGAGGAACTGCCTGAGGCAGTCAACGTCCACCTGTTTGTCCTGCACGGACAGCGTAAACGCTCCTGCTGTGTCCTCAGCTGCGCTTCTGAGCAAATCCCTCTGGCCGCCTGTCAGCCTCTTTCCTGGCCTGGCTGGCGGCGGCACGTCCACCGGGCAAAGCTCAGCACTCAGGCGGTTCAAGAGATCTCCATGGTCAAAGAGAAAGTCTGCATAGTCGCATGCATCAGTCCTGTTTGTGCGAGTGCGTGCGCATGCGTGCGCGCGCGCGCGCGCGTAGGTGTGCGTTTGCGCGCGGAGGGGGGGTGCGTGCTCGCGCCCGCGCGCATACGTGTGTGCGTGCGTGCGTGCGTGCGGGTGTGGGTGGGCGGGTGTGTGTGTTTAGGCGTGCCTGTATGTGAGGCGTGCGCTTGGCGGGCAGCGGGGTTGGCCATGACTGACTAGGCAGATACGGAAACCAAATCAGTTAGGTTGAGCGCTTCCCTCAGTTGCCAAATCTTAGCTAGGCGATGGCTAAGCAGCTTAATTGGGTCGTGGGGCCAGAAGCCTTTTTGGGAAACACGCCACTGCACAAGCAAGTGTGAGCGCCTGTCCTCACCAGCTTCCTCAATGCAAACAAGTCATGCTGTGGATCTGCAGTCACCGTCACCATGGCTGCGACGGGCGACTGAAAATCTCCCAGCAGGCGGGTTCCAGACGCACTGGCCTTTGGCGTGGTGTGGGCACTTGTGACACGGAGGGCTTTGAACAGCCTGACGTACAAACTAGTCAGCTTCTTCCGATGCTTGCCATAGGAGTCTGTTGAGTGAAACACAGGGACGGTCTCCGCAGCCGAAAGGCCATGCTCCTGTCGCACTTGCTGCATCCGCCGGACCCAAGGTGTGAAGTCGCGCTCAATTTCTGGCATGCTCTCAGAGGTAGCAAGTGAAATAGGTTTGAGCAAGGAGCCATCAGCGCCGCACCATGCGAACGCAGCCTTGTGCCTCCTGACCCATCTCTCGTCCTGACAAGCATGCAAGGCGCAACTGCTCAGTTGGGGATCTAGGAGCCAGGGGCCACGAATTGTTGTGTGGAACTAAGAAAACTGAAGCTCAGGTTTGTTGATCTCGCTGGTCCTTGTACTCGCAGACCTGCAAGGGCAAATCAAAGTTCCCATCGAACCGGACTCCCTGGCCATTCATCAGCATCTGCCTGGAATGTTTACTGGTGCCGTTGGACAGAAAATAAGCAACAACACCCAAACAAGCACTGACAGACAAGAAAAGCACGGACAAACTTGCTCCAGCAAGCCAGCAAACCAGTCCATCATCACTTCCACCCGGCGCTTGATGAAGCCCTCGAAGAAGTTGTAAAGGATTGCGCGCAAGGCAGAAGCGTGTGGCACAGATGACATAGCCCACATCAGACAATCTGAAGATGGCAGCCTGAGGCTCATTGCAAGCAAGTTGGCAGCATACAAGTCGGCCATGCGCCTCCGCACTGCTCGGACATTGAGTTCCTCATACCAAGCCTGCAGCAAAAACACAAGACATAGTGGAGACGCCAGAACCAGCCCATCTTTCGCAGTCCTCAGAATGCGCGCCTTGGGGCAAACCTCTCGGGCAGCTGCTTGCATGTCATGGTCGGTGATGGAAAAGTAATTTGGGCTTGCCTGCGGAGTTTCCTGGCTTCCTGTATCTCGCAAGCATGTGTGGCACCTGTGGGGCCTGGCTTCCAATGGCACTGGCGTTGGCAAGTCCAAGAGGAACCGAACATCCCCCCGGTCCTGCCGGGGTCTTGTGACATGGCCGGGATGCAAGGCCACATGCCTCTGGGCCGAAGCAGGTGTCACCTGTCGGATGTCCGTCTGGCAGACCTGTGAAGGCAGTGGACTAGCAGGCTCGTCTTTCTGCAACTCCGCAAACTTGGCCGCCTGCGAAACCATCTCCGACATCTGCGGGATGATGTTTCCAGAGATGCGAGGCACTTCCTCCAAGACAGCCCGCCTGGACTGCACTGTGGTGACCCGAAAGTGAAATCCTATTTGCGTCAGCTCAGTCTGCTTCACTGTTGCGGCGCGGCCAAGAGAGTAGTAAGCCCCTGCTTCGGCCTGAGACATGTTCTCCAGCGGTGCAACATCTGCTTGAGCTACTCCTCTTCGAGAAAATGTTTCCAGAATCAGCACCCAGTTGGAAGAATATTTTGCTGATAGGCCCTTGGCTGGCAATATTGCAGCGGTGACTGGAGATGCCGACAGCGGCATCAGCAGATGGAAAGACATAAGCTTGAGGCACACCTCCGGGCTTCGGCCTTTGAGAAGTCGATCGCACATGCTGTCTACATGCGTGTGATCGTCTAGGGACTTGCGCTCTGATCGACGATCTGTCGGTCTGGGGGCTTCTACAGGGCACGTTGCTCCCAACTTCGAAGCCCTACCCCGCAGTCGCTGGATCCCCGCCATTCGCGCCACTTTATTTTGCCTCATGTCTGGTCTGGCACCAGGCGTGGACGCCCGCTTCCGCTTCTTGCCAGCCCTTGCCAGCGGAGACTCCGAACGCACTGCAGCCGCCGCGTTCATTCTTGGGGCTTCCATGGCTTCAATTTGTGGACAATTGTCCACCGGGAATCAAACTGCTATAGCTCAACCCGCGTTATCTGCACTGTGACTGATGTGACCTGCCGGTGTGTGAGCCCCAGACTTTGCAGCCGTGTGTGCGTGTGTGTGTTTGTGTGTGTGTGTGCAGCAGGTGATGGCGAACTCAAAAAAAGCTGCATGTGCTTCTGGAGCAGGAGCCGAAAAGGGGCGCAGCCAAGCTTGCAGTAAACGCGTTGAGCAGCGGCATGTGTGTCTTATTTTCAAACGTCATCAGCATCTTTCATGACTTGGCTTTGGAACGGTACCTGCCAGCCCAGCAAAAAACTGACAATCGGCGGCGGCCACACAACTATCTAGGCACGCACGCGAACACACGCCGAAACTGCGACAACTCAAGCCTGCGAGAACAACAGGGCAACAGAGCCTGGTCATCATGCGCGCTGTGCGTCGTGTTCGGATGAGGCCTGCGGCATGCGACACTCTTGTGACCAGTCATGGAGGCGCAGGTGTTTTTAACAGACATGGAGGTATTTGGCAAACATGTGTATTTCAAATTTTGAGACAGTTGTTCAGCTGAGGAACCATAAAACATGGAAGCCGTCCTTAATACCCAGGGAGCCAGGCAAGGTCATATCATGTCTTCACAGAAGTGGAAAACATTCCTGCGCTCTAGATTGTCTCGGAGCCTGTGAACATCCCAAAGCTTGCACCCCCGGCTCGAAACAAACATGGAGGCGCGCAAGGTTTCCCAATTCCCCGGACCCCCGGTGAAACAACAGAATCGCAGGACCACACCTAGCGTCCATTTTGATATAACCTTACTGGGATGGAGCCCATAAACACATAAATGTGCAGCGGCCTGTTTCCTGCTTACTTGCAAAAGCATAGGGTAGAGCAAAAAAAAGGAGAACTTGTTTCCTTTCTAGGAAAGCGGCAGTGGGAGCCATGGGAGCTCCAAAAAAAGGGCGCGGCGGCTTCTGCGACGCATGTGGCGCGCGCGTGTGATCGTCGTGGGACCGCGGGGTGGGGCTTTTGAAGGTGGGAGCAACGTGCCCGGAAAAGGCCGCAAGTCGTTAGTTCGTCGATCAGAGCGCCAAGTGTTCTGGCGCTCGCACGAATTACGAATGTACGCATGTGCAGCGTGCGCGATCGACTTCGCAACGGCCGATCCCCGGAGGTGCGCCTCAAGCTTATATGTCTTTCCGGCTGCTTATGTTGCTGCCAGCGTCTCACGTCACCGCTCCAGTATTGCCAGCCAAGATATTCTGCCAGCTGGGCGCTGCTTCTAGAAACCTTTTGTCGAAGAGGAGTAGCTCAAGCAGATGCTGCGCCGCCGAAGAACATGTATTCGGCCCAAACAGGGATTTTCGCTTCTCTTGGCCGCGCCACAACAATGAAGAAGGCTGAGCTGGCATAATAGGATTTCACTTTCGGGTCACCACGGTGCAGTCCAGGCAGGCTGTCTGGGAGGAGTCGCCTGGCATCTCTGGATACATCATCCCGCAGATGTCGGAATTGGTCTCGCAAGCCGCCAAATACGCACACACGGCTGCAAAGTCTGGGGCTCACACACCGGCAGGTCACATCAGTCACAGTGCAGATAACGCGGGTTGAGCTATAGCAGTTTGATTCCCGGTGGACAATTGTCCACAAATTGAAGCCATGGAAGCCCCAAGAATGAACGCGGCGGCTGCAGTGCGTTCGGAGTCTCCGCTGGCAAGGGCTGGCAAGAAGCGGAAGCGGGCGTCCACGCCTGGTGCCAGACCAGACATGAGGCAAAATAAAGTGGCGCGAATGGCGGGGATCCAGCGACTGCGGGGTAGGGCTTCGAAGTTGGGAGCAACGTGCCCTGTAGAAGCCCCCAGACCGACAGATCGTCGATCAGAGCGCAAGTCCCTAGACGATCACACGCATGTAGACAGCATGTGCGATCGACTTCTCAAAGGCCGAAGCCCGGAGGTGTGCCTCAAGCTTATGTCTTTCCATCTGCTGGTGCCGCTGTCGGCATCTCCAGTCACCGCTGCACTATTGCCAGCCAAGGGCCTATCAGCAAAATATTCTTCCAACTGGGTGCTGATTCTGGAAACATTTTCTCGAAGAGGAGTAGCTCAAGCAGATGTTGCACCGCTGGAGAACATGTCTCAGGCCGAAGCAGGGGCTTACTACTCTCTTGGCCGCGCCGCAACAGTGAAGCAGACTGAGCTGACGCAAATAGGATTTCACTTTCGGGTCACCACAGTGCAGTCCAGGCGGGCTGTCTTGGAGGAAGTGCCTCGCATCTCTGGAAACATCATCCCGCAGATGTCGGAGATGGTTTCGCAGGCGGCCAAGTCTGCGGAGCTGCAGAAAGACGAGCCTGCTAGTCCACTGCCTTCACAGGTCTGCCAGACGGACATCCGACAGGTGACACCTGCTTCGGCCCAGAGGCATGTGGCCTTGCATCCCGGCCATGTCACAAGACCCCGGCAGGACCGGGGGGATGTTCGGTTCCTCTTGGACTTGCCAACGCCAGTGCCATTGGAAGCCAGGCCCCACAGGTGCCACACATGC